CCCTCCACTGTCCTGTCATCTGTCAGGCAGGCGTCAGCTCAGGCAACCAGCAGAGGGAGGTGTCTTGCCCCACTCAAGGCAGTATGGAGGTCCCTGGGCTTTCTGTGTTGGGGGTGGCCTCTTGATGGCCCTGTTTTGCACTTAATCCTGACTTGCCCTCAATCCCTTTGTAGTGGGGTTTGCTTGTTTGCAAATGGAGCCAGAGGGCTGAGAGTGGCTGTGGCTGTCCTGTGTGGGGAGGTTCTTCTTGGCACTCCTTCGCCTTCTTCCCCTCCCATCGCCAGCCACGTCCTTGTGACTTGACCATGTCTGGCAGCCCTAGTCCCCATGGCCCAGCATACTCAATGCTCTGCCTTTCAACTCACCTTTTTCCCAAAGTTTTCGAGGTCTGATCCAAAGCTCCTGCAGGTCAACAGGAGCCTCAACTGGGCTGCAGGTCAGGCCCTTGGGGGTTTCTCCCCTGATTCTCCACAATGAACTCCCCCTCCTCTTGCCCAAGGTCTTCCTCCATGTCCCTCTCCCTCCTACTTTGCTTTTCCCTGGCCTCTAAAGTGGAGCCTGCAGGATGCTCTGCTTTTGGTCAATTCTGCCCCATGCAAGCGTGCATGGAGCAGACAAGCCAGCCAGGGTGGGGTGTACCTGCATATGCAGTGAAAGCTGTGTTTTGCCCCCACCAACTCATCAGAAGCAAGCAGTAGCACTGATGCACACCTACACATACCTAGGACTATGCTTTCTGATACTCAGATCCTGAAAGTTACACTGACCTTTCTGTCTCAGGCTCATGGGAAGCACTCTACTCCCCTAGCTCCATCCCCAAGCAATTGTTGCTGCCACTGCAGAACCAATGTGGGGAGAGCTTGTCTGGCTGACTGACCCTCCCCTCTCCCCAAAGCCCTCTGAGTACCAGCAGCAGCAACTCAGGGAGATGGTGGCTGCAGCTCTCCTCCTCATCCCACTGTCCCATGCTCCCATTGGGCCCCACGCACACAGGGCACAGCAGCTCACAGCTGCCGCTCGCTCATTCTTCCTACCCTGTTGCTACTGCCTGCCATGAGCGAGAGCTCTGATAGGACTAATCCTTCCTTCTGCAGACTGCTACCCCACTCCTTTTTAGATACATTGTGTAGAGATTAAAAAAAATGGAATTATAGACACTTCTCCCCATCACCCCTGCTGCAACCTGTGGCTGACAGCTCGGAGCAGGAACTGAGTTTTAGAGCACCTCTATGCAAAGGTGCCAAGGATGCCAGCAGACTGTGATCTAACTTGAGCCCGGAGGAGATCTGGTACAGAAGTTCAGTAGACTAAAGTAACCTAAACTGATTAAGTTTGATAATACATCCACCTGAGTCTATCTTAGGCTGAGTTCTGCCATTTTTAAACTAGTCTATGTACACTGAATTTCTGTTCTGTTACAGGTTTAGACTAATTTCTGATCACATAATGGTTTATTTGTAATGTCTGTACCTGACCATTGATAGTTCCTTTCATATATATTCACAGGTTTATATAATCTGAGGCCTTTCACTTACCTCAACCTTCTGAAGCACAGGCTGGCTTTTTAAATGCAAATTGGAATCTTAGTTTCATTATTCATCTACCATTTACTTATAATTTAAGTAGAGGCAAATAAATGTTTGAGATCTTTCCACCCTTTCCCCTATTTAATGATTGTCATTACTGGTATTAAAATAATAGTTAAGAGGATACATGGTTATATATTGGCTCTAACTGAAGAAAGTTGGTATCAGAATAAGGCCAAAGTAATTTTTGATTTAGAAACAGGCATATCTAATAAAAAGTTACTAACTTATTTATAGATTTTTTTTAAAGAGGATCTTTCTTTACATATCTTTGGAGCTTTTCTAACCATTACCTTGGTTTTACCATTAGATATCTTTGTCAATAGGATTATTTACAAGCCTTTCATAAATTTAAATAAAGGACTATTCCCCCTGGCAAGAGATGCTTATAGATAAAATTCTACCCAATTGCCTGTAAACCAATGGCTAGGCCAATTTCCCTGACTACCCTAATTAGCTCTGCATAATTTGGCACATTGCTTCCTGGAATAATGATTTAATCTAATTCAGGATCTTTAACAATATATCTTTTTTAACTAATATAACAAATGAATTAATTAAGACTTTTATCTCTCATACTCAGAAATTAATATGGCCAAGAATAGTACTGGCATCTTGAGTAGTAGGTGGCTTTAACTGTCATTTTAGTCTCTCTCTAAACTGGCTAAACTTCTGGCCCCCTGACTAGTTGTGAAGTAATCTGTGAAACTGGCACAATGTCATCCCTTGATTACATTTTTAAAAAATACAGAAATAACGATGTGTACTGTTGAAAAAGGTAAAAACTACAATAAAACTACTTGCATAACTGTTCAACAGTGTAAGAAAAGTTCAATCTGTTCCTCCTGTATTTTGAAAGAGAATAATGAAAGAGAATATAAAGAGCCTGTAAAGAGGGAAGGAAGAAAGGGGTGACTAATTTAGCCCTAATGTCTCATATGTAGCTGGCTTGGCTAGCTTTTTTAACGTTTCTAGATTTCCAGTAGAGGTATTAGCAGACTGTCAGAATAATATTTTGTAGTTGTGATGTTTTGGTGACAATCCTAGATGTTTTCTATATAATAAAGAATTGTTTACCAGGTGGAATTAACAATAATATTATTTCTAACATCGCAGCATAGGCGATGCATGGAGGGAGGGTATGGGGAGCATGTGTCCCCTCCCCCCCCCCCCCAAAAAAAATTATCCACTGACAGTGGGGCAAAGGGCTGTAGCTTGACCAAAGCCAGGGCCTGGCAGCAGTGGGGGCAGGCAGCAGCAGCATAACTTCTAAACCAACAGCGGGGTATGGGACATAACATGGTAGCCTGGACAGAGTCAATGCCTAGCAGGGACAGAGGCAGCAGCCTGGAGTTGTTTCCCCACCCCCACACACACTTTCAACACTTATGTGTCATCTATGCATTACAGACGAGATACATTTAGTGATTGGTATCCACTGATCAAAAAACCTTCAGTCAGGTGGTAAGATCAATTCCATCTGAGTGGGTGAAGTGAAGTTTTTTTTTATAATTAATAAGTACCAGACAAGATTCTATTGCCCCCACACCCAAGGGTGATTAATTTGGGTATAAATGATCCGCCCTATTTTATGTTAGTAGTTGGACATACCTGTCATTAACATAAGGATATGAACCTGCTCAAAATCACACAGAAATCAATGGAAAAACTCTCTGTTATAATGGTTTGAAAAAGTAAGGAAGAATAAAGTTTGAAAGTCAGAAAACCTCATTTTAGTTCTTGGTTCAATCAAATCACTTGAGCTTTATGTCTTTCACTTTCTCTTACTGCAAATTAAGGGTGATATATCCTGTGTAACGAAGGTATTATCATTGGAATTGATTGCTCTGGGATCCTGTAGTGAAAGATACTATGGAAGCAATAAGTATATGTCACAACCCAAAGGGTGTGATTTTTGTTTTTGTGTGCTTCGGCACTGCTAAATTGTTCCCGCTAAATTATAGCTTCTTTGCACGGTGGAGTTTTCTGCTGCAAAAGAGAACCCCGGTGCAAGGGAGAATTTCCTGCCAATTTGAAGCTTTCTTTGCAGGGTGCATTTCTTTGTTGCAGCACAGAAATGCTCATTGCAAAGAGTTCCCACCATTTGTATGCTAATTCGAGTCCCATTATTGGCCAGTTCTAAATTATTCACACGTAGCGGCTAGTGATTGGCTTGCTAGCCGTATAAAAGGCTTGAGTGGTTTCTGCCCAAGTTGGAGGACTCCACAAACACCGGGAGGAGGAGACTTCACGCTGTGTGAAGATCTCTAAGTGCTGTGGATCCTTACAGACCCAGCGCATTTCAAGCAGGCAACAGAGGTCTGATCAACCTCTAGCCTCTCCCCGTCGCCGATCGCAGCCTAGACGTATCCCTGCGCGCAAAAAAACCGGCCCCCTGGAGCCTAGCAAACTTCGTGTGAGTCCTTGCCAGACGACCGACCTCAGAGCTCTTCTACCCGGGTTCGAGTCCTGCAGGTTTATCTTCCCGTCGCCGAAAACCACTTGCGACATACCCTCGTGTTTTGCATCATCCCGTCGCCGAAAACCCCTTGCGACGTACCCTCGTGCCCTGCAGGTTTGAGTTTTGTTTTGTTGTCTGTCTGTAACCGCAACTCAAGCAAGTTTTCCAGCCTACACCACTGCCATCTCGGTGTAAGTAAACAATCTTTTAAACTACCGCTAAGCGTTTGTGCCTAATTCCAGCTCGACGGCCTCCCCTTTCTGACCCGGCGTGCCCGGGCTGCTGGCCACAGCCCGTGTGCAGCACAGAAAAGGGCTCGGGTTGCTCCCGGCCCGCACAGTATATTGTAAATTGTATGTAAAGATGGTGGGTAGAGTTTGTAATACAGAGCATGTCATAGATGTAGTTTTGGGAAGTGCAGAATTTGATCTTCTACAGATGACTGCTGGTGAATGAATTGCAGGTTCTGGCAGAAAAGTCAAAGAGTAATTGGAACAATTCATTTTTAGAAAAGTACTGGGAAAAATGTAGGACATTGTAATAATTATTTAAGTATCATAGCACCAAATTAATTATGGAAATATGCAGTTATGGTTAAGAATGTGGAGGCCATAAGGGACAGCAGTGTGTGCTGCTCTGCATATAAGCACATATATATATTAATGAATGAAACTTTATTAAATTGTGAAGATTCAGATAATGGTGGCTTTGTCATATCTAACAAGACAGACTGTGCCATAAGTGCAATAATGAAAATTCTGTCCTTTCTAGCTACAGCATGATTGTGATAAAGTTTGGAACAGTGGAAACACCTTTCAGAGTCTTCAGGGAGAGATCTGAATGAGGAATATAGAAGCAATGTTCCACATAACCCTCCTTTTTTTCCCTTTGATTTTCATTTATGTGCAAGTTGATTATCTTTCCCATTTTCTTTTCTAATGCATTATAGGGAGTGAGCCTTGGGTTTCAGAAGCCTGTCCCACCCACTACTGGTGTCACTGGATGATCAGGATGGCGTTGGGACCAGGTAATTTTTTCCTATTTAGTGGTGGTAGAATGTAATGGTGACTGATATAGATTGTTGCCTAGTCATTCTGGGATCCCTTTTCCCCTACCCTTTCCCCTCCCCCTCCCTTAGTCTAATGGATTAGATTTTTCATGATGCTGGGCCTGATCATCTTTTTTTTAGTTTTGGCAATTTAAAATGTAATTACTGCAAATTTGGTAGGCTGCAGTATAGGTGGTGGATTGGAAAGTGGTTTTTGTTTGTTTGCTTATTTTTGATTTTGGGGGGTGGGTTGGTCCCGATTAATTAAGTAGGCTGCTTAGGCATTGTTCCTCAGTATGTCATTGGGTGGTAAGCGGATACACTTCCATATGTCATACAACTTGCGGCTCCCTTAATCATTATCTCTTCTACTGCCAGCACTGAAGATGAGCAAGTTGGGGCTCTGGCTTTTAGTAAAGGTCTGTAGTAGCCTTTGTGTAATGACAGGGCATGGCCTCAATACTCCCCCTCAGGTATGTCATTCACCATGACATTGGCACTTATGGAGAGCAAAAGTGAAATTCCTATATTGTTGACTCAGATAATAGCTTGAAATTTAATTTGTGGCCTCTGTATTTAACCTTATCATTTCTGTATCTGTCTCAAGTAGAAGTGATGCAATTTTAATGATGAGTTGCACATTAAACTAGGGGCATTTTTAATGTGTGTAAGCTAACATTTTAGCTTGTTAACCTGTGCTAAGTGCCCTCTAATCATCTCAAAATATACAAGTCCTCCACCTTCCCAGGTTGCACTGCTCC